AATGTCTTAAAAAATAAAATATATATATATATATATATATATCAACCTCTTTTGAGAATATTTGGAGCACAAAATTCTTCAACATAGTTTGGATATTTATACTTGGCATAATTATACAGTTTGATGTCTTTCCTAACTTAATACTCCTCAAACACCTAATTAAAATAAAAATAACTTAGATAAATGTGCATTAGCACGTGTCTCTTTTATTTCAATTAAATACTCTATATCATAAAACAACTATAAAAAGAAGAAAAATCATTAAAAATAATAATAATAAGAATAATATCATATATTAATAGGCCTTTGCCAATACTTTCATCTAATTGGAATCAACTGAAAATCATCCTCAAACATAATAAACCTAGAAAGATAACAAATGTATTCATAAAACAGCACACATTTAGCATTTATATCTACCCCAAGTATCTTATAAGGTTATAAATGTGATTCAAGTTTCAAATTCATATGTCTATAATAAACCTACAAGATGAAATTCATAAAACACTCACTAACAATTATTAGCTTATGAAAACTTCTCATAATCATTGAAATAGGTTTGAAAATTTAGATTTCTCTTCCAATTAGATTCAATATCAAAAGATGTAACACGGGACATTAACGAATTATCAACAATGTATTCTCGGAATCGCTAATCTTTCCATCAAATTCATGAACATCAATATAATCATTGATTTCAATTTATAATTCCTCCACATTTATATGCAAGCTCCTGCTAGGAGACTCAGCAACATAATGACCAGTTTCCTGACACTTAAAACATGAATTTGAAAAAGTTTTAGACTGAAATGTCAATGCAGTTGATTTTCCTATAGTTTCCTTATTGACTATAGTGTTACAATTCCTAAATATAATAGATGCAACAAACTAGATTTGACCTACCTAGAAAGAAAATTTTAAGATTTGCTGATAGTATAATCTAAGTATAAAAGTATACTCAGATAATAGAATGAAATATAGAGTCATCATTCTCTTGATGTCTAAACCTAAGAAATATGATCTTAGGATATTCAATGATCATAAACTGTAACAAGAGTTTTTCAAATTTATCCATGTTCTCAAAAATTAAAATTGAAAGAAGGCAACAACAAGTGTAGTGCTATTTTTGATTTGATATTAAAGATTTGAATGTTATATGCATAAATATGAATGTTCAAGTGTGAAATATATGCTGTAGAAGCAATATGTAGAAAATTGGAAGAACATATAGACATTAAATGAACAAAAAACAAATCAAGCGGTGCATTACTGGTTTATAAAACTTAACCAAAAACCTGATCTTTCTCTTTGATCAGCCTTCGCTAGAAAGTATTACAAGAGCTTCAATGGGACATATTTTTTCTTCGATTCTGTCAAGTCTAATGTATGTTCTCCCCTTATCTCGATGTCAAACCAACCGAACCTCATTCCCTTCAGCAATGGACGTATCGGTTGCTACTCAACAGGTGAAAACCATCTGAATAGCTCTGAAATTTCAATGGAAGCAGCCACAATGGCACTTAGCAGTCAACCATGCATACAAGACTTGAGAGTATGGTTGAAAAAAAAAAGAAAGAATTCAGAGCATTAATGTCAAAAAATCCACATTATCTGGGAGTTATATGTGATGATCTGGTAAAGTTTTTGGGATTTTTTAACAAAGAAAAAGGTATTGCTTCATTCATTTCAATAATAGTGAGAAGAGAAAGAAATTATATTCATTCTTATTGATGTTATCATAGAAACAAGGGAGAAATTTAGTTGAGAAAGGGAATAAATTATTTTATGAAATTGTAAAGGATGACCAAATCCAGAGGGAAAGAATGTCAAGATCAAGCCCATCAGCAAAAACTTCAATGATAAAAAGAATTTTAGAAATACATTATATAAGATATATAGACTAAAGATATATTCAGCCACAAAATTAACTATGAGCAGAGTTGTTGTATATGTTTATTAGGATTCCTGCTCATATCAACATCATTGTTTCTCATTAAATAATAAATTAAGATTTCAGATCCATGCAAGAAATCAAAATCATAAAAGTTTTGGTTTTATTTGAATATGGAAAAACTGATTTAAGACCATCAAATCCATCATTTTCTATTTTTTTATAATAAACCAGCCTAAGAGATGAACAAAGTAAACTGCAAACTCATTTTAACTTCATATAAATTTCCAAAAACCAGAACTTCTAGCATCAGTTTCTGCACAAAAAAAATTCTTAAAGGCCTATAAAGCTGGCCTTAAGTCACATTGGTTGATTCATAAAAGCATGGATCATAGTTACATGCAACTATGAAAGTGGTCTAAGCCATGCGAGACTGGAAGAACTAATTCAAGGGTGTACACGAGTCAAGCTTGAGTCACTCTCGGCTTGAGCTTGAGCTTGAGCTTGATTAACTAAATCGAGTTCAAGCTCGAGCTCTTAATTTTATTAGTTCGAGTTGGCTAACGAGTCGGCTTGTTTAGTATAAAAGAGAGAAAAAAATATTAATTAAGTTAGTGTTATGATGAAATGACAAATAAATGAGCAATTAGAAGATAATTAAAGAGAAACCACTTGATATAAAATGTAAAATATCATTTTTTTTTTAAGTTTAAATTATTTAAAGAAAAAATCTTGAATTTTGATATATCTTAAGCATATTCTTTATTAATTTTTTTTTTAAACGAGCTAACTCACCAGCTAAAGAGTCAAGTCGGGGTTGGCTTGAGCTTGGCTTGTTAGCCCATCAAGCTCACTTCACGAGCCACTTGTCGAGTCGAGCTCAAGCCAGCTCAGAAGTTGGCTTGGCTCATTTACACTCCTATTCAAGATATCTATGTTCGTGATTTTCTTCCGGTCAAATTTTGGATATCAAACAAAGTAAAAATCAAATTTTATGGAAAGAATAATTTACACCCTAACCATAACCCACATAAATTTTCATTAACCCAAAACCTCTAGCTTTGGTCTATACACCAGAAGGAAACTACTAGATAATCTATTCTGGCAAACAAAGCTGGTCAAACTCACAGTCATCTCACAATATCATTTATGCTATTTTTTATGAAAACATAGAAGCCATCACAAATCAGAATAGCTTGTGAATTTGTCCAGCTTCATCAGCCAAAATTACATATCTCAATAATTTATATACAGAAAGCTACAATTGTTATACCTCTTTGGACCACCAATAGCTACTGTATGCCTCACCAAGGAGAGACATTTGATGAGGATTAAGAAAAATAAATCAAATCTCAAAACAAATTCACCGGAATTCTTAGTATGATTATGTTCACCACTACACCTGTCAATCAATACCATCTTCAAAATCCAGACTGCTTGTACAATCCAACAAAGCATTCTGTTGTTGCTCATACCGACAGATATAATTTAAACCAACTAAAAGCTCACATATAGCAGCCTCTGTCTTCTCCCTATCAGCAAAATAAAGTGTCTGAAGAAGTAAAACACCCCCTCTCAGAACAATTTGGTGCTGCTCAAAATTACGCTCCGCCTGCCACCGAATCATTTTATGTGCCATGGGAGAGAACCAGCTCAATATTTTCCTTATTGCCTCCTTCCAATCATGGGCAAGAGAAGCATCATATATTGACAGATCCTTCACATAATACTTAAGGCTCTTCCTTAGAGCTGCCCTCAAGCTTGCAGGTAACATCTGGTAGAGATCATCCTTCGCCTCATCTCCAATTAGATGGGGGTAACTAAGAAGCTTTTCTATGATAATTATGATATTGGCATAATGCAGAGCAAGAGACGAACCACCAATGGTGGAAGAAGATGCAAGCATTGTTAATCTACTCTTGGGACCGAACCTTGGCCTTCCAGTCCTTCCCCTAATGCTACCTTTCTCCTCTCCACAGAAAGGAAGAAGAGAACCAGTCCTACTCTGGATAACACAGCTCTGTTCCTCAGGGTGCTCCTCGCTCTCATTACATGAAGCATGGCTGCTCAAGCTTAGACATTCCATGAAGAACTTCCCAGGATTAGCCCTGCAATTGAACTTGAGACTTTCCCGATGCAGATTTCCACCTGGTTCCGCCATGGGGGAAGATTTATGGATCTTGCCTGACCTGTAATCTCCAGCTTCGGACCTGAGAAAACCAGAATTCAAAGGGAGATGACGGAATGCAGCAATGGGGCCAGAAAGCTGTCGACTTTCATTAGCCGATATGTTCTCCAACTCCAAAATGGAGTCCCCAAACACCTGACAGATCCGATAATGAATCGTACAAACAGCGCGAGCAAGAAGGAGGACGACTTTGTCGTAGCTCTGATTCCAAAGAGAAGAATCACGAAGCTGCTTGACATCATGCTTCTGCCACTGAATCCTTTGATCGAACACCTTGCGGTTATGTTCGTTAGCTGGCGTGGGAGGAAACTTCTTGGCGGAGAGCTCCAGCTCTGTGAGGGCTTCGAGCTCGGTGTAGAGAGCAGCAGTGGATGAAGCGAACCGCTCCATCTTGCGAACGGTGCCGTCCATGTCGCGGGAGAGAAAACCGAGAGTCGAGGGGTCGATTCGACCGGCGAGTAAATCGGAGTAGACATGCTCGAAGCCTTGGAGAGCGGGGAGAGAGCAGCGTCGGCCAAGCCGGGAAGCGATTGCCGCAACGCGATTTAGTTCGTCGAGCTTCTCGGCGACGGTGAGGGCGAGCAGGTGCGGTTCGTGAGGGGAGATGAGAGAGCGGATAGCGGCGGAGGAGAGGATCTGGTCAAGAAGGTTGGAGATTTCGACATCGGAGAGAGAATGGTGGAGCTGGACGGCGCGTGACATCGCGTTGGCAACCTCGAAGGAGAGGATGCCGATAACCGAAACAGAACCTTCACTGTGTTTCAGTGGATCCCGCCCCCCTTTCTTCTTCTTCATCTTCTGTATCCACGGCTCCGCCCCCATTGTTACGCTTCAATCAGATTTCCTCCACTCGTTTTCAAGCAAAACTAGATTTTTTTGACGAATTTAAACGTGTTACCGGCAAATGTGAGCAAACTTCGTTCAAAACATTGAATTTTCTTTTCCTTCAGAATAAAAAAAAAAATTTAAAAACTTTTTATGTTTAATATTTTGAAATGCTTCTCACCTCAAGCAGAAGAAAGATCTTCCCCCTCAAGGAGTTTAGCGCTGCGGAGCATGGCGCATGGAAATCGAAAAAAGGAATCACTTTTCTTCCTTCCTTGTTCTCCTCTTGTTGGATTTGGCCTAGCACGCATCGTCTCAAATGGCTTTCACCCTGTTCCGCGGCGACAAAAATAAAAGAATTCGGAGACCAGACAAGCAGCAGCTGTGCGGACGCCGATACTGTATTTCCATATTTCATTTTTTTTAATTTACCAAAATAATAATAATAATTTAAGCTTAATAAATGGAAGATCTGTGAGAGATTGTGCTGCGTTTGTAAAGAGATCAACGTCATCAGGAATTTAAAATTGCTTGTCCGTTATTTGATTTGGTTAGGTGCTGTTTGGTTGGCAGGTTTTAGGTGCAATGTGTTTTAAAAAGCATTTGTTTTAAGAATATAGATATTTGATTAGTTGTAAGATAAATCTTGTTAATTTATGGTGTTAGGAAATTGTTTGATTTAGGCTTTTTGGTTTTTGGGTACATCGTTATAGTTGCTCGTTGTCGTCGTGCTCGCACGCTAATTCACTCTTAGCTAGCCGCCTCCCTTCCTCCCCCATCATTGCTATTTCGTAGCTAAGAGTGCAGTCATCTCCCACTTGCTAATGAGTTCGCGAGTTTGAGTTTAGCGAGCCATGAGCTCAAGTTAAGCCGATTGATGGTCATGTGGATGCTTTCTCAAGCGAGCTATTGCGGCACTCTTCATTTTTCTTCAGTCATTGATGTCTTCTCTAGGGGGCTCCTATGATAATATAATTTCCTACTCCAGCCTGTGAACCGGCTCGGGATCCCAATGTCTCTTGGTGAATCGAGCTCGAGCATGAACTTACATCTTGACATACTATCTGAGCTCGAGTTGGGCATGACTCGAGCTCGATACAACTCATTTACACCCCTATTAGCAGCTTCTGACATCGCTAATCCCTAATTGACATTAATTTTCTTAAAAGTAACCATACACAAATTTTTAAATTTTAAATTTTTTAACAAATAACTCAAACATAACAATTTATTTATGCAGCCTAAAAGACCTCTAGCTTTAAAAATAGGGCCTTAACATTCATCATAAAATGAATTTTTTTATTATATATTTATTAATTGAGAAATGTACATGCAAACCTCTAAATTCTTGGTCATGTACAAATCTAAGAAATGAAATTCATATTTATTTTAGGGGCATTTAAATACATACCACACATTGTTTGTGCCATTACATATCTTTAATGTGTACATCCACAACATTCAAATCTTTAGTATCACATCAAAAATATCACTATCATATGCTTTAAAAAATTAAATGCACTTTAACATGAATGGGTTTATCTTGCCAATTTGTTATAAATGTTAATTTGAAAGTTTAGGTGTTATATATGTAAGATGTAATAATTGCGTGGTATGTATGTAAATTTTTCTTTATAGTATAGAAGATTAAACTAATTTAACTTACAAGAAAAAGGGAGTTGTTTATGAAGTTTCTTTTTATTAAAATTTTAATAATTTTGTTTATTTATGGCGATGGTGTGTGGGTGAAAATTTGATGAAAATTGCAATCACAATTTTTTTTAAGTTTATGAATCTGCTTAATGTTAGGGCAGTCATGTCTGTCAAAATGGCTCGTCGTTCATGAATAACTCGTGCTCGGCTCATTAAGAAGTTAGTGTTCGATTCATTCGCTAAGTTAACGAGTCGAACACGAACATTTTATTTTTGCTAGATATATAAACGACTCTTTTTGGCTTGAAATACTACTCATCAATATATATATACTGAAGAGTAGTATTTTTAAAAAATTTAATTGACTATAAGGCTACAATGATTTATAATCAATTTAAATTATTATTTAATAAAATACATTAAAAATTATTAAATTAGATTCAAATGATGTTTTAAATCTTGCCTCAATCCTTAACATCTTATGGCTACATGATTAGAGCTGTCAAAACCACTCTTTGTTCATGAACGGCTCATGTTCAGCTCGCTAAGCAAACGAGCCGAACACGAACACACTTTTTGAGCTCGAAATATA